GGGCTGTCTACCAAGGCATTAAACAACAACCAGAGGGAAAACAGGATGAAAATACAGGATACTGGATTGATACACAGTATTCAGAGATTAAAAACTCCATACCAGCTGGCCTCAAGGCCCAGGAACAGTAGAAAGAAACTTATACAGCCTAGGAAGGATTTTTATGCTCTGTTATGGGTCCATGAAACAACATGATGGACTCATTAGAGGAATGAAAACATTCTGCCACTAGATAATTTCCCTACTGACACAAGAAACGTTTTCATATATATACACTTTTATATATATATATATACACTCCCAGCACTGAAGTGTCCTCTCCCAATTGCCTCTATGTCCATTACTGTGATGTCACGATGTCATGAGTAACCAAACACCAATTTAGGAGGGAAAAAAATAAAACTCACTAACCTCCTTTCATTCTGGGTTATAGTTCCATTCTCCAGCTTTTTCACAGTTGATGCTAGAACCTTGTTTGCATCATTGGCAAAATCCAAGTCTCTGACCTCAGACAGAGGAACTGATACAATGGCAAAAGCTTCCTTGTCCTCTTTTGTTTGGCATGTCCCAATCTGCAATAGTTTTTGGTTTAATGTTGGTAGGCAATCCTCTTACCTTTATCCTAGTTATTATGCATATTTGATATGTTAGAAGTGAGATCACCAGTAGACAGCTTCAGGAGTGAGTTTGGGATTTCAGCCCCAAGACACATGTGTTTACCTTTAACATCACAGGCCTCTCTTCATCAGTATCTATTGGAATGCTGGTACTAGTGACCCAAGTGTTAGTGCACAAATGCCTCAATCGGACGTAGGAGTTCCTAAAAGAGAACAAAGCAAACAACAGATTAGCTGGATCAGCCCTGAGCTAGAGCAGGCAAGGTGGGATGCCATGCAACACCTGAGACTTGATGGCATGAGTGACAGCAGCCACTTATAATAAAAGGGTGAGGTAGATGTAAAAGATACTGCAGTTCCCTTTTCCCTTGTCTCCATCTTTCTCACCTAGAGCAGAGCTGAACAAGAACAAACAGCATCTTGGGATTATGCAGAATGCTGGTTTTTAAGTATTTATGTAAGCCTAGGAGTAAAATATGCTTTAAAGAAAAAAAAAAATTGAAAAGGAAGGTGTTATAAAATCCCATTTGAATAGAAATACATTTCATTAATAAAACCAATTCTTTTATTATTTTTTTCTGCAGAATAACAAAACCCTTTAAGCTGTCTCAGCACAAAAGCCAGAAACCAAAGCTGACCATGGTTTCACAGCTTCACTATTATGATCTGCAATCATTGACAGTACCAGTTCTCAACTGAAAAATCAAGTGAACAAAGAGCAAACATGAGATCCTTCTAAATGCCTTCCATATGATAATCTCTGGTATTATCAAAAAGCAGAGCTGAGAAATCAATTACAATTTTTACTCTGAATTTTACTTTTTTAATATATTCACTGTGGTCTCCATTCACGCTCTCCCTTTCATGCTGATGGGCTTTGAGTATTCAAGTAAGCAAATTATCTGGCAAAACTTAGCATAGCAAATACACTTCAAAGCCACATGCATCAGTATTTGCAGGTACCCAGCTATAAAATCCACCCTCATAACAACTAACCCCAAGTGCCTGCATGCCCATTCAGTCACAACCAACACCGTGTGACTTATCTAGCCAATCTCAGCTATGCTACACTGCTGAAATTTCAAATATTGACAATTAAAACCCAGATGCCACTTACTGAATTCATTTGAATAGCAAATGCATTCAGTGGCATCATGATCTGTCAGGGAAACAGAAGCCCAGTTCAGCATACATGTTATTTAGTTGGGAACAATCCAGTTAGATCTGTTAGGAGAACAGTTTTTTCAAAGAGTGCACAGAGCTCAGTTCTGTCCTCATATAAATCTGCTCAATATTTAGCCCATTATTTTTCTCTTCACAGACTCTCTTTAAGTGTCACTTGTTTCATCCTTGTAATTATTTTACCCAGTCACAGCAGCAGTATCATGTTTTATACATCCCTTGTTTATCCATGAACACTCCTCAAATTTTAACAGAAGGAGAATACTTGCTCATGTTTGATTTTTTTTCTGGTTTACTCACCAGCATAATGCCAGGAAGAAACCCTGTCAATGCAACACTATTTTTTCCCCATTTTTTTCTTTCCTTTTTTTTTTTTAAAAATTTTACCTTGGAACCAGGCAATCAGCTCTCTGAAGAGTGGTGGCATCCAGTTCAAAGAGAGATGCGATGTCATTTCCGTGTGGCACAGAGACCAAAGTATACATAATCTTCTCCCCTGCTTGGCGTTTCTTCTTTGAAGCAGGAAGGTCTCCATCTCTCTGCTGATTAGGCACAAGGGTTATTTGCTTGCATCAGGGCCCATTATAAATCCTCCAATTACCTTGTGGACAAGTAATACATCTGAATTGTAATTATTTGTATTTTTTTTAACCTTCTAGCAAGAATCTTCCATGAATGGCTTTGGAGTGTGTAACACAAAGGATGCACTTTGCCCCAGGCACATGGGGTCTCAGACAGTCATTATAACAACAGCAGGCCACGAGCTACAGAGAGACTGCAGCACTGTATATGTTATTACTTGACACCTACGACTTCAAGAAACCTGCAGCAGATGCAGACCCCTCACTCCCAGCAGATGTAACTACACAGTGCTGGTTTGGAAAGGGCCACAGGTGAAAGAAGAGAATTAATGAAAATTGGATTAAAAGTGAGGAGGGGATTTTAAAAGTCAGTAATTTGCCTAAATCCACTGTTGTTTTATTTAAGTTTGCTTGGTTTTTCTTCTCCTATGGTAGAATCACAGCAGCACACTTTCACAGAATCACGGAACCATTTAGGCTGGAAAAGACCTCCAAGACCATCAAGTCCAACCTCTGACCAATCTCCACCTTGTCAACTAGATCAGGGCACTCTGTGCCACATCCAGTGGTTTATGAACACCTGCAGGAATGGTGACTCCACCACTGCCCTGGGCAGCCCCTTCCAATGCTTAACCACACTTTCCATGACAAAATTATTCCTGATGCCTAACCTGAACCAACCTGGCACAGCTTGAGGCTATGTCCTCTTCTCCTGTCAACACTTTCCAAACAGTAAGAGCCAGAAGTCCAATATAAACTTGCCATGGGTATAGGGACACAAAAGGCACCAGCTAGACTGTATTTCAAATCTTAGCATAGGCTGATAATGCACCAGAGGCTGGATCCAACACAGCTCTGATTCTACTCCCTGCAAGGGGAGAAGTTTGCTCAAGGAGCTTTCATGTGACAGTTATAAAGTTGTGTTGGTGCCTGATTAGGTGCACAAATCTAAGGTGGTGATCTTCCTCCCACCGTCTGCTGGAAGTCCTTGGGAATTACATGACCCAGCACCACTAAGCAGCGTCCTCATCTTTAGCTACCTACATACCTTTGTCTTCACAGACTCCAAATGCCACCTTCCCTAAGCACATATCTTGGCTTGAAAGAGTAATTCAGAGTCTGTGCCTGTATCCACGCAGCAACCAACAGAATTACTGGCATAAGTAAAAGCTGCTCCTCTGGGGTGTTGAGTTACACATATTACAAAGACTAATAACCAATTAAGAGACTGGCAGCCCAGGGCCCTTCATGTACACAAAATATATCACAGAGGGAGAGGAAAAGAGGAATGAAGAAAGCCAAAAGAGAAAAATCAAACCCTGGAAACCTGAAATACTATTACAATGATTTATAATGCACCACTAGGGAAGAGCTATATGAAGCAATGCAAAAGGCTAGGCTGTACTCAGTTTGCATTAGTACCTTGATTAAAACCAAACTGTAAGGGATATTCAAGGGCAAAGCTTTGATTATCCACACTGCCAATTGAGATTAAGCAACAAAATTAAGGATGAATGAAACTATGTAAAAAGGAGCTAGTTATCACTTCATTTCAAGGCACTTTTTGTTACTCCCAAAACATCCATTATTTCATTATCAAGTCTAAAAAATGCCAGCTTTCCATTCCATTACTTCTATCAAGGATAAAGGCAAGAGGAAAAAAAAATAGAAATTTTTCTTAAACTCATCCAGTCATTTGGGTGCTGCCGCTAGTGTTTGAGAGCAAAGCTTGCTGAGAAAAAGGGCAACCATCTCCTGTGTCTTGTACAAGAGTAAACTCATCTGACAGTCCTCACATCCTATCATATCCATGCCCCAAAAATACTAAACAGAACTGCATAAAAAATGACAATGTTTTAATCTAAAAAGAAAGTCCACTTGAACAGAGGGCAAGACAGTGTCTGCAACACTGGTAACTGCAATGTAAAGCTTAGTCGAGCAAAATCAGATATGCACAAGAGCTGTACACTGGTTCCAGACAGGATTCCAAGCACCAATCGCAGAACTCTCCTTGTAACATTATTTTAGGATCTCAGACACACCTCACCACCCCACCAGGACTATGAGCATTAAGCACTAGTTGTAGAAAACCAAAATATAAGAACAAGCGTCCTTCAACAGCTCTGAAAACAAGTTACGTACATGGAGTACAAGAGAAAGCAATACTGTCATTGCATATGAACATAACATGGATTTGTGTTTATGTCTCAAATTTTGTCTGAGTGCACGTGCACATGCCTCTGTGCGTGTGGGAGAGGGAGAATGCACAGACACTTGCACACAGAAAGCTTCTTTTGAGAAATTAAATTTAGCAAGCAGTCATCAGAACTTGCACTTAACCTAGCCATTATTGAATCAGCAGATGAGTCTATGTGAGGATGTGAAAAGAAGTGAAAGTATTGGGCTATTTAAAATTAATGAGACAATGTGATCAGCTCAGGAGAAGCACTGCATTCCTAAGCAGATGAAAACAAGATGACATTTGCTCAGGTAAAAAATTGGTACATGAGCAGATACAGCCAGCAAAACTTGATTCAGCCAAGAGAAAGGAAGGAAAGAACTGCAAAGGAAAAATGCAGAGAGAAGAAAATTCAGCTTGAAGCAGTATGAAGAGAAAGCAAATGGAACAGTTTTAGAGGTATTGGCAATGTGGTCAATGACAGCCAAGGAAAGCACTCCCAAGACTTAAAAAAATATCAAACCAAAACACAAACATTCTTGGAGTACAGAGAAGAAGTGCAAGAACTGTAAGTAAAAAGATTAGCAAACAGTAAGTTCACTGATGGAAAACAAATACAGCTTTGATTGTCCCAAACTATCAGCAAACTAGTAACAGGCTGTTTCAAGTCCAATTAGATAAGGTGAAGGAGGTGGAATCACCTCACTCTTGTTATACACTGGTTAAATCGCTCACAAGGATTAAGGAAATGCACATTCAGCTCCTCTTCTGCCTGGCAGGAGTTGAACCTACACCTTCCAAATGATCTGGTCCAAAACCAGGTGGTACAAAAAGCAGATAAGCCCCCTCAGCCTAAGAGATCCTTAGTGTCCACATGACTAGAGGGCTCTCAGCCCCCCAGCCTCATCCTGCAGCAGCAGAGCACCACTCACACACAGGAGAACACAGCCAGGGCACTGCTCCAGGAGGGGCTTGTCTAGGGAAACATAGGCTGAGTGTTCAGAAGGAGTCCTAGTTACTGAAAACAGTCATTTTGGCGAGGAGTGGAAATACTGATCCAGGCCAACAGCAAAGCCCAGAACCCCTGGACTACCACCACTGATTTGCAGTGAACTATGACTTTAAAAGAAGCTTAAAAAAGCCCCCAAGAATACAGATATACTGCTTGCAATTTGGAGGGCAAATGTAATTGGAGACAAATCCTATATTGTAATCAGTGACAAAATAATCAGGTACAATCAGATTTGTCTTGCAGATAACCCTTCTCCACAGCTCTTATGGAATTTGCAAGTAATTGTTTGCTATCCCAGACCACCATTATTCAGCTTAATTGGATATCCTACCTAGAATTCAGGAGCTTTACATGGAGTTTTGCTTATGAAGGGGCCTTCATTTCAACTGCAGAAAGCGATACAAAAACATGACAGACCTGAAACACCTTTTATTTTAGAAACCCAATCTACAATTCCAATTGGTGAAGACACTTCTGTGGCATAGAGACAGACAAGGATAATGCCCTGCTCCTGAATGAATACATTAAGCTGCACTACAGATTTCAGCAGAAATTAAATTTAATAGCAGCCAGAGTTCTGAAAATGCCTGTTAAATCCAGTGCAACATGGTATCTCAATAGGTTACCCCAGTTTAGGAGGTTCTGACAAAACCAGAATTTTCACAGAGCACTAGTGTGAGCAGAACTCCATAAGGTTAGATGATTTTGAAAAAGTCTGCATGAAAAGAAAATCGAGTAAATTAATGGCCAGCCTTGCTCCTGCATGCTCTGGAGCCCTGGCAGCCAGCACAGCAGTTAGCCTCCTGTAACACCTTCACTGTTGACTCATTTGTGAGTCATCGCATTTTTAGCAGAGACATCACGTTGCAATTCTGTTAGGAGCCAGAGACATTCTGTAAGAAACAATGTATGCATTTTCAGAGCTGATTCAGACCTGTGTGCAACAGCAGAATAATAATAATGTGCTGGCATCCGTGTCTCCCCTGCTCCCCCAGCCTCTCCAGTGGTCTGACTGCTGGCTTTATGTAAGCAGAGAGGCTGCCATTTTAAAGATGATGATTCTTTTCTTTTCTATTTCAATGTTTTTCAGACTGTTTATTGCCAGGTTAATTCCTAACCAGGCCTTTAAAAAAACCCAACAAATTCCCCAGGACTATTCGACTTGTTTAAACTTCATTGCCTGTCTTCCACATTAAAAAATTTTAATTAAAAATAAGTTGCTGGAAGGTAAAATAAAATAAAATGAAATAAAATAAAATCAATTTACAGTGCGTAGAAGAAAAAAAATCTCCTGTCTTTTCAGCAAGAAAGAATAGTTCGAATTGCAGAAAGTTGGGAATTCATAATGATAGACAGAAGTCCAAGGAGATACATCAAATTGCACCTAGAAGCCCATGGTAGAACTTCCCAACTTCTTTACAAGGAAAGTAAATGCATACAAGTCTTAATCCTAAAAAAAAACTCAACAGCAAAAGGCAGATTGGGACTTATTAGAATAAACACTTGCATGAAAATGCAGACAAAAGGAGTTAAGGTACCTATCCAAAGACAGCCTTTAACACAGAGGCACTAACAAATGCCAAGTTTCCAGCTGTTCTTGACATTTCCCCAATGTTTGAAGCATTCTTCTGGATGCTGTACATTTCTATCATTAGAAATAACAGATTACTTTGCAGCATAAAACACACCAATTTTGGATTTAATGGAGGCTGTAACACAGAGCACTGCATTTTGATGCACCACACACCACAATCTCCTAGACTTCAAGAGCTGAAGAAGCCTTTTTTTTATAAGACCCTTAAATCGCAGAAAGAACTTCCCACTTAAAAATAAAAGTCTTCTGGAGCTTAGATGTGAGAATATTAATCAACTCATTGCAAGGCCAAATTTTACCAGAAATAAAAGCAGTGCTTCACAAGACAATTTGACTGGATTGTCAAGAAGAAGCTCATAAATGAGCAATGAGCTGCAGTCCAAACGTACCTTTAATGCCTGGGAACAAAAGTCCTAGTGACTTCCAGTAATATTTATGTTCTCCAGAGCCAAATCCCCTTCAGACTCTTGAGTCACTTAAGGCAAGGCAGAAAAGATGCACTTAGGCAGAACCTAGGTATCTATGCCCTCTACTGCACCATGGAAAATCCTTCTCCATTGCTGCTTCCTAAAATTCAGTTGCCTGAGCAACTGTGATCAGGACTTGTAAACCAGGCAGTGAACATGCACAAGAAGCCCTATTGCATGTTTAGGAGTTAAGGGTTGGCACAGAATGCACAGATGGCTGTCCTGCCTTTAAAACCCAGGCAACAGATTAGAAGCTGGTACCCTTTCACCCAACAGACTAGCAGAGAAAAGAAAAACACAGCATCAGAGAACCACAAAATGGGTCAGGTTGGAAGGGATCACCGTGAGTCACCTAGTCCAACCCCTCTACTTAAGCAGGGTCATCCCATGGCAGAGGATTGTGTCCAGACAGTCCTGGAACACCTCCAGTGAGGGAGACTCCACACCTTCTCTGGGCAATCTGTTCCAGTGCTCAGTCACCCAGACAGTAAAGAAGTTCTTCTTCATGTTCAGGTGGAACTTCCTGTGCATCAGTTTCTGCTCATGCTCATTGCCCCTTGTCCTGTTGTTCAGCACCACTAAGCAGAGTCTGTCTCCGTCCTCTGCCACCTCCCTTCAGATACTGATAGACATTAATGAGGTCCCTCTCGGTTTTCACTTCTTGAGGCCAAGCAGGCCCAGCTCCCTCAGCCTTCCCTTGTAAGAGAGATGTTCCAGGCCCTTAATCATCTTTGCTGCCCTCCGCTGGACCTGCTTCAGGAGCTCCATGTCTCTCTTGTACTGAGGAGCCCAGCATCGGGCACAGCACTCCAGATATGCCTCACTGGGACAGAGCAGAGGAGCAGAATCAACTCCCTCGACCAGCTGGTAATGCTCTTCCTAATGCACCCCACGATACCACTGGCCTTTTTGGCCACAAGTGCACAGGCTACAGTTACAGTTTCTTCCTTCAGTTCACAGGAGTCAAGCATGCATCTCCCATTTCCCTACTACTCACTCTTCAGATTTGCTGGGGTGGGTCAACTTCCACCTCCCTCTCTAGAGAAGATTTACTTCAAGGGCAGAATTTCAAAATTAATTGCTTCAAAAGATGAAAAAGAAGATGCCTTTGCAGTGAACCAGTTAGGCAGTCACCTGGCAGAGGTGGAAACCTGGGAGCAAGGAAAGCATGTGTTCTCCAGGTTATGCACTATTCCATATAAGACTGACATAGCTGACCCTTAAAAACTCCAAATACTACACGATTCTTGTATGTTTGAGGGATAATTCAAAACACTGCATCATCGTAACATGAAATACTTTCCTGTACAGGGATATGAAGCTTCTCTGCTCAGTTGCTCAAGGCCAGAATGAAGGCTTAAAATAGCCATTGCTGACTCATAGCATTTCCAAGACTATAAAGGGGTGAAGGATCCAAAGGGATTTTTACCATGCTAAAATTGCCTGTAGGCTTGGATTTACATGGAGGTATTACCAAAAATTGCTAGAAGTTCTTTCACAAAACATTTTTCACAAGAAAGTGCTAACTGTATGAATTAACATTTCCACAGAGACATCAGTTTTGATCACCAATCAGCTTTGATTAATTTTTTATTGGAAGTATTTCTCTACTGTGATTTATCTGGTCTGTTTTTCTAGTTGAAACCAATATCCAGGAGGAATAAACCAAACTGTTAGAGAAGTCATCTTTAACATTCATGTTCAGATAACTCTTGTGCTTCCTTCTTCCGGTCCAGGGAATATTTAACTATTTAGATGAATTGAAATGGCTACAACTAGAAACGCAATTCTATATCTAAATAAGCACATTGTGGTATAATTGGATTGGATCCTCAGTGACAAGGGCCTAACAGCTACATTTGCATAGGTCATTCTCCAGACTAGCTGTAGTCTGGTTTTCTAGGCTGGGCACCCAAGGAGCTGGTACGCAGGTTGGAGCACATTTCAGGGGTGTGTACATCTTTCATCCAACAGAATACAATGCTCCAACATTGCTCTGCAAAGTGAAGTGGAGTGTCTTAAATAGGGTATAATCTGGACATTTGCCTCAGAAGTGCCATCATGATGTTTACTACAATGTTAATGCAGATGTACATCTATGAGATGAGCTCTAATGTCCACAGAGCAAGAGTATGAAGTCAAGCACTTCCAGACAAGCATCCTACCCACTGGGGTGTTCTGGAACTGATCTCAATTTCCATTTGAAAGCTCCAAAGGCTTCAAGTGTCACTCCATTACAAAACAGAAACAACTGGAGGAACTTCTGTGCTTTCATGAGAGAGAATTCTCATTTCTCTACACAGATTATCTGTATTGCTATATTAACACCAATACCAAGTACCAGTGAAGATGGAAAAACCAGTGTTGTCAACTCCTACAAAAGTATCCATTTTTATTAAAATTGCAGCCCTCAAGGCGTGTGATTATGTAAGAATCTTGGGTTGCATTTAATGAAAAATAAAAAAAAATTTCCCCATGCAGAGAAAAACTTCAAAATGTGTCCTCTTAAAGAACAAAAGCCAGAAGGCAAGCAGAAAGAAATTACACTGAATTTTTTCAAAGAAGATCCTGGCATTTTCGGGGCAATCTCATGAATTTGATGGAGGAATGATTCTTTCTTGAAGTATTTGTTGTCTTAGTAGCAGTAAAGACTCCCCCAAGGTCTTAACTCCACTTCCTTCACATGGTAGAAACTACAACATGTCTGACCTTGCCTCGTTAGTTAGAATTAGCCAGCCTGCTCTTGATATTGCACCAGGCAAAGGCTGTTGCCTCCTCAAAACCTATCCACACTGCAGCAAGGAGAACTTGGATCCTTGCAAAGATGTCCTGCTAGAGTTGCCTGAAGCGTGGCAGGGCTCAGACTCCTGCTTGCACATGTTCAACACAGGCAATAAAAAGAGCCTCAGCACGTTCTTAGATTTAGATTCCCACTTGACTGACAAACATGCCCCAAGGGAGGGTGTCCACTAGCAGAGCCTCCAAATTGGTACTGGCACCTAAGTAACCGAACTTGCACATCCCTGATTTCCTTGCTAAAGAGGGTACTGGGTTTTGCCATGAAGTAATACATCTGAGCTGAGAAGAATAAATACATTTCATATCTGCAGTCGCCAAGCAGAACAACTTCCAACTAACACCAACTTGATGCAGAATTTGAATAAGTTTCCTATCATTTGCCTTATGCAAGGGAAAACTTTCTGCAACACCAGTTCTGAGTTGTACCCTAGCTTACGCAGGATATGGAAAACAGTTCCAGCAGCCATAACATCTAAGTAAATGGAAAGCCATGAAGGGCTTCCATATGCCAGGCTGCACTGGGTTAAGGATTTCCCAGATTATATGCAACATGTAAATTCCACTTACCAGAGCTTTTCCTTCATTATTACCTTCTGGATAGTGTGGGTTAAGCTGGAAAAAGAAAAGAAGTCAAATACTATCTTGATAGATTTTAGACATTTCATAACTGGGGAAGAGGGTTTGGTTCAGTTCTGTGTTATGCATCCAGCCTGCAAAGGGATAGTGGAGCATTTCAAAGCAGTGTGAGAAGGAGTGTATAAGAATTACTGATTCAATTTCTGACTGATTTAACTGGCTATATCCTCACTTCAAAAAGTGCATCTTTCAATCAAGCCTGCTAACTCAAGAGAGGAATCTCAAATAACCAAACCCCAAAAGAATGATGAAGAAAGCAGATAGTTACTATTCCAAACACAGCAAGTTACAGTCACCCACACATATACACACGCAACCACTTCCAGGATTGACCTTGGGCAGATATACTGAGAAAAAACCCTAACATTCTTCATGTCTACTGTGATTTTACAGGAAGACAGTGAACTCAGAATTAACACATCTTTGAAACAGGAATAACAATGCCACTACAGACAGCTGCTTAATTACACTGTGGTTCTGTTTAACCATTATTAATGGGGATAATATTTTCTATGTCATACCAGGATGATCAAGCATTAATTAATAGCTAAAGTAGTATGAGAAGCTCGGGTGAGAGACACTATATAATAATAAGTGTAAAGTATTACTATTTAACAGCATTTAATATGAGTTTGCTTTTGACAAGGGAAATCTGTAGACTGTAAGATGAGGGATTATGTAGGCAGACATACTCTCAGATAAACAAAAACACATACACCCCCTCACTTGCTGCACACTAAACCTTTCAAGATTTGACTTACATACAGAAAAAATTTTGCCTCAGCATTTAGCACATTCCCTGACACAGGATATGCCATCAAAGCATTGAAAATGCTGGAGTCAAATTATTAGTTATATCAGGCAATTTAGTTCTTAAGCAACCACTATGTATATATGTCTTACAGATAAGTACAGTCATTTTCTTGGCTTGAATTTGGCATTCCCACTGTGGAAGAGCCAGAAGTGACTTGCACATGGCAAGGTGAGCAAATCCCAGCAAAATTTTTCAGTATCACGTCATCATACATCTAACATTGCACAGACAACTACTGCAAAAAGAACTTTTCATTAAGTTTATAATGTTATAATATATATATAATTATGACTTATATCGCTTTACCCATCCCCAAAATAAAATTTAAAAAAAAAATCCAGCTCCTGTCTACATCATGAGCCTGCAGAAAGGAGGAAAACTTTTAGATATTTCTAAATTGCTAAAAATGTCCTGGGGTGCATCAGGCAAGGCATTGCCAGCTGGTCAAGGGAGGTGATTGTCCCACTCTGCTCTGTGCTGGAGTCGTCTCACCTTGAATATTGTGCATAGTTTTGGGCACCACAGTATAAGAAAGATATTAGTTATGAGAGAGATTTCAAAGGAGGGCAACAGAGATGGTGAAGGTCCTTGAGGGGAAGCCATAGGAGGAGCTGCTGAGGTCACTTGGTCTGTTCAGCCTGGAGAAGAGGCTGAGGGGAGACCACCTCATTGCACAACCTCCTCATGAAAGGAAGTGGAAGAGCAGCACTGATGTCTTCCCTCTGGCAACCAGTGACAGAACCTGAGGGAATGGTCTGAAGTTGTGTCAGGGTAGGTTTAGGTCAGATATTAGGAAAAGGTTCTTCCCCCAGAGGGTGTTTGGGCACTGGAACAGTTTCCCAGGGCAGTAGTCACATCCCCAAGCCTGACAGAGCTCAAGGAGCGTTTGGACAATGCTCTCAGGCACATGGTATGATTCTTGGGACTGTGCTGTGCAGGACCAGGAGTTGGACTCGATGATTCTCATGGGTCTGTTCCAACTCTGAATATCCTGTGATTCTTCTTTCCTCATTTCAGTATTTGCATTAGCCACTGTGTTACCATCACAAATCTAATTTAGAGAACCTGTTTTCCTCCCTACGTCAACACCTATCCCAGATCTTGATTTCACTCCTCCATGACATTCTGACACAGTCCCTTAGTTCCAAGTCCCACCTGCTTCTGCTATACAGCAACAGGAATGGGAGATGTACACTGAACTACATACAGTTAAAAGTTATACATATATGTAACTGTTTTCATATAGATTCGGTCTTTTTATAATTTCTCACACTTCTTTCAGCATTGCATTTGTTCACTTGACACCTTAAAATAATTCTAGTTGCCTATTTTAACAGCCAGGCTGAGCTCTCTACCTTTAGCCTTCCTATAAGAACAGAATAAATTATCAGGCAGTGCTCCCTACTCACAGTCACACACCGTGGCCTTTCTGCACAGGTGCAGAGAAGGTACAGAAAGGCTAAATTCTATCCTGCCTTCAGATATTGCTGGTTGTAAGCAAGCAAGAAAAAGTCTAGATCATCTCAGGTTTGTCACTAGACTCAATACAGAGAACTGTGCACTGAAGACTAGATCTTCAAACAGAATAAACCTACAGGGTTTCATTGAAGGGCTCAAGTGTATACAGTTGTCTACCCAGTATGAACTGGGTCTTGAATTCTGATATCCTTCAGCTGTTTGCTTTCAACATAACTATGATTTTTAAAAGAAATACAGCAACAACAGCAGAAACTAGAAAAATCTCCCTCCCACGCCACTTCTTGCCTACTTTACAAAAATGACTGAACAGATTGCCCTCAAATTCCAAAATAGTTCACTTGTGGACTGAGGGTGAGGGAGACAGAAGGCTCAAATTAAAAATGAAGTGCATCCTTAATGATGGTTTTTCTTGCCCCACTGTTACAGAAATAATAAAACTAAAAATATGTTGTTTAGAGAAAGTTTTGAGATGCTGACGTTCAACCATGAACATGATGGAACAGTTTTAGGTCTGACATCCAAGGCCTCATTTTCAGCTGTGCTGGGCAGTTGTTGCTTTCATTTTCATTTCAGCTGAGGTTGTACGTGGTGAGGATTTCTGAAAAACAGACTATTAGCTGTTTTCCCATGCTACATTCTCCAGGAAGAGAGGACATAAATCATGAAGTGTTGTATGTCATATTACACCTGTTCTAAGTTCTTTTCAATATCCAAGTACAGAATGACCTAAGGACATAGTGACAGTCTTAACACTCAAAAATCTATTGTTTTTTTCTGATTTATGTAAGATCAATTCCACATTCTTCAATAAGCCTCCAAATCAAAAGAATTATCAAAAGTAACAACATTAGTATTTTTTTCCTTGATGCTAATGAAGTCAAGCAAAATTTTTGCAGGTGTTTAGAAAGTAAGAATACTGTGCAAAAATGGGCCCCATTAAAGCTCAACAGTCTTCCAGCTTTTTTCTGTCTTTGGATGTGCTAAAGTTGCAATTTACTGAAGTGCAGCTGAAATACAGTACTCTATATTATTGCAAAATGCCACTGGAAGGTGCCTGAAGTCAATATGCAGTAAGAACATGATGCATTGCAAACTGCAGAGCTTAAGCAAGTGTGATTGTATAAACCATTATTGTAATAGTTTCATTATATGTTATTTTTTTTAGAGTATATCTCCAACAGCTTCTTTTTCAGTGCAGAATAACCCACAAATCCTAATCCTCTGCTGCTTATTTTTCAACAAGCCTTGGCACAGCCATTTTATACCTTTCCATGGATGGGAGAGAAAAAGGTACCACAAAATGAAAGTTCAGCTTCCTCATGACTGAAAACTAAACAACATCAAAGACACTGAAAGTCATGTCATGTTTATGGCCATAAGGACACACAACCTGAGTAAATGGCAATCGCTGTATGGTGGTAAGGAAGGTGTGGTCTACATCAAGGAACACAGGCTGCATTAGCAGAGAACAACTAAGGAAGGCCAAATGAGAATTCACATCAGTGAAGTGGTGAACTGGTCACCTAACAGTGGTCATGCTTGTCCTTCACCATCACATAGGACAGCTCTATTGTGAGGATTTTGCAGCTGGGCAAGGCTAAGGTAATCAGCTCTTAGCTTCAGTGACAATGATTTATGACACCACAGACACTTCACCTTTTTCAGCTGCTTGTACATATGAACTCAGACTCAACTCTACACATCCTCCAGCCTACACAAAATTTTCTGAACTCCGGAAAATGAGGCTACCATATCCACTTTTCTTTCATATCACAGCACCATGGAAGACATCACAGTTCTACACACATGGGCTAACAGTGCACACTGACTTAGGTGCTGCATGAGCTTTTCCTTGTGCAGCTGAAGTACCACTGTACCTGCAAATGCAATTTGCACAATATATTTCACAGGAGGTATCTGGGACCACAACTCACCTTGCAATCTGAATCTGCTGGGGAGAAGAGAGCAAACTTGTTCACACACAAGGGCAGTCAGTACCATGGGAAAACCACAACCACCTCACAAGATCATATTTTTGAACACTAAAACCATTGACGATTTTGGCATTTATAGAAAGATTTTCAACTATGGAAAAGATAACACATTCTTTTAAATATCAACTTACATAGTATTTACTCACACACTTCTGTAAGAAGCCAAATTCCCAACTTGTGACCTACACAGGGTGTGTGAGAGAGCCTGAAGGTCAGGGTCAGCAATGCAGATGGTCCTACTGGGTATAAAATTTGATGCCTCTTGGACAGATATCAGGCTCAGCCTTTATACACAGTGGTATATAAAAAGAATGCATACAAATACCAATATACACTGTGGGAGCACCAGAAGGCCCCCAGCAGAAAGCATGTGTGACAGCCATGTAATAGAAGGCAGCTCTTACAGATGGAAAACTGAGTTATAGACAAAGTCTTTAACTATTTCTGGTTCTGAATTCTTGCCTAGTGCCTTCATGATGTGATAATCCTCCTGCAAAGTTGGCATAGAAGGAATTTCCTGAGCCTCTACTACTGTGCAGAACATTGCCTCACTAATAGGTTACTCCTGGCTTTAATTTTACTTTCCATCTTCACGTAGTAAGATATGCTTTACAGTTCAACAACTGTGAACAAACAGTTTGGATTTTCACATTTACATTGAATGCTGCTTTCTTGGAGGAATGCATGGA